GATTTTAGCTCTTTAATTATCGTACTTAAACTTGTATGGATATAAATGTGATATGAATAATTTCATTCTATATTAGCTTTGCCTCGACTCTATGGCTTGCCATGCCGTGATTGAGCCCGCAACAAATCTTGCTAATAAGCATTTGCTTCTCATATATCGTATCGCATGAAAATATATTGTAAATATAACAATTTACATCGATTCGCCAAATATTCAATTAAAAGCCTGCAAAGATGTTTGGCATATTTTGTTAAAAAATCTGTTATATAAATTATCATGGAGCCCATACACTTGTCGCTCACGTTGAGATTTTTTCCGCCATGCAAATTCCCCTGTGCCGTAGGAATTTGGAAATATTTTTTTAATGAAGCCCGTGCCCGGCTGGTGAGTGTAAATCTCGCTGGGATTTGGGCACACAAAATTAATACGAAATCGAGAAAAACATTTACCAAGGCTTATCGCGGCGACGACAGGCGAACGTTGCGTATGCGCAATGTCGTCAAAGTAGCTTATTTAAATTATCAACACGTTTGCCGCCGCCTTCGTGATCGGGGCGGCAGGCCTCGCCATATGTTTGGTCCATTAAGATAAGCGTCAATCGAACGCAGGCAAAACAAAAAGCCAAACGCACACACACACACACACACGCAGGCGGGTGGGTGGGGAAGTGGAAGGTGGAGAAATTGTAAATCCCAGCAAATGTGTAAAATTTTTGTTGTAGGCACGTTTTAAAATTACCATCAATAACATTGAATGTCGAGCTAGCCTGCCTTGCACCGGGGGTTGCTTCCAATGCCCTTTGACTTTTCACTAAGCCAGCAGCCAGCAGCCACAGCTCTCAGTTCTCTCAGCTCTCCCAGTTCTCAGGTCTCAGGTCTCATTGCCAGTTTGATGGCTTGATAGAAATCTGGCTGCCAATGCTCCCCCGAGTCTAGAGCTCGAAGCGTGCCAGCCCGTCGAGGGGTTGGCTGGCTGTCTGTCTGATGGAGTTTCTTGACATTTTATTGTGTCGGGGCTCGCTTCGTATTTATTGAAAATCGCTTTAGAGCATTTAAAAGGCCATTCCCACTTTGGCCAATAGCTTGCTCCCCGCTTATCCTGAAAGTCTTTAAATAATCAATTGATGATTGATAGAATGGATAGGTAATTGATAGACAAATCTTAATCTGTAAAGTATTTGAAAACTTCTGAAGATGTTTTGTATAAATAAAACTTATTCGAACATTTTATATAAATATTTAT